GGTAGAGTCGGTAGGAGGAAGATGTATAGGAAGAGGCGCAAGGCGCACTTAGAACAGGAGGAACGGCGAAAAGATAGTAAGCGAATACATTTTTCCATCAAATATAACTCGATTCCCGTCGTACGGCATGACATGCGAACAGAGCTTGCACAAGTCACCTTGTGGAGGCTTCTCAATTGCTATACCCAGAGTGGCTCATTTGAACATTTAAAGACAGCTCCCGCGATAAAAGTCTCATGGATAGCTGCTTTCCAATTATGAAACAGCAGCTGATAAGTAATCTCCCAAAGAAGAAAACAGGCAAGAAGCGTTCTCCAGAACAACATAAACAAAATCGCTCCCTCACAGTCACACCTCCCTGCGGTCTCTGTGCCCCTAGCTCACAAATCTCTCTATCACATCTCGCAGTAGTTGATATCATCCAGTGCAAAAAAGAATACAAAAAGAAAACAACAAAAACGCAGAGGAAAAACTCTGGGAAGGAAAAAGGAATTTTATCAACACGGTGTCTGAATTTGTGATTACGGTAGCGCACCTTTTGTGCGTCGTGGTTTTGCATCACGAAAATTGCGTCACTCGTGTTTTTACGCGTTTCACCTCGCGAAATGGGTTGAATTGATGTATATACCTCCAATGAGTAAACTGTAATGAAGGAGAGCAGAATTATCCAGGGGCATTAGCAATGCCCGCCGCCCCAACTAAGAACAAGTGAGTGGCCTCCGTCGGAGGACATCTAGCAAGTAAAGGCGGTCCGACTGAGGAGGAGTTAGAACTAGCACTTTGAGCGGCTATAGCAGCTCACAATAGAGTCGCGAAAGGTGAACAGTCTTCTAGCTTGGAGGCTAGACTACTTGCACAGCAAAGGCGACCACGAGCCACTTTGATCGCGGGGGCTGTCTTTAAACCAGTTTTAGGAAGAGTGACTAACTGAGCGTGCAAAAATGCCACCCCTTGCCGTCTTGAACCGGTCAATGCCTACGAATGTGTAGATACCCGCCATGAGCCAGTTTTCGGCAAAATGCAATAGGGAAATAGAGAGCTTCTGAGCTGCTAATAGCATCTTAACTTTTAGCAGGAGACGCTCATCCCTCCCCCCCCCCCCTTCCCTTGTTCGCCCAAGTATTTCGTATCCTCTAAAATTCTGGTTTCAGCGAATTCCAACCGACAGTATTTCACGAAGATGGTGTTTATCTCGATTTGATTGATAATATGGCAACAGATACGTGGCAGGTTTGTCCCACTTAACTCTAGGAAGCATGCCTGATCCTGAAGGTGACCTGACTACCTTTCAGTCCGTTCTGGGCACATTGGTCTGTATGGCTTTCGTGTGCTTTATCTTCCTTAACAACCTCTTCACCGTGGCCATTGCTAGTATTTCGGTGCTGTCCATTTGTGCAGGTACGTCAATGGTCCTCACTCATTCACTCCCTTGTTTCCTTTTGTGTTTGTTTCCTGAATCAGGTTGTGCTCAGGAATTCTCGGTATATTGTCATGGTTGGGTGTGGATCTGGATCCAATCACAATGGCTGCTACGATCATTTCCATTGGTTTCTCAGTGGATATACCGGCTCATGTCTCCTATCACTATTATCAAGCCTGTAAGCTCCTTTCTAGCTCTAATAAAATTTCCCTCCTCGCTCAACCCCCGTACTGGTGTTGCTCGGCAATAATTATTTTGACAATTTTTCTATACAATCATTGCTGTTTCACGATCTGAAATTCGTATGGAAGTTGATTGTGGTATAGAGGCCATTGAGCGAAGAGGTTGGGAGGCTACCACTGTGTTGTAATGGCTCACCAGCCCAGTCCACAAAGTGTGAGGTCGTGGTTCGAATCCTGGCTATGGTCAGAGTTTTTGCTCATCGCTCAGCATTCTTATGGTAATAATTGCATTATTGCGGCACGGAGCTAGATAGGAAGAGGTTTTGCTAGCAACTTGCGCCGTGCATTCTGTTCGCTGCGGATGCTGGGGCGTTACAGGGGGCCGGTCGAGGCGCGGCGCCGGCCCTTTCTCCGCCATTTGTGGAAGAATGCAGGTGACCACAACTGATGGAACACTACTGATGGAACACAGGCGCCGTGCCGAAGCCATCCCCTTGAAACGCCTAGCATCCGTAGTGAACGAGTGAGGGTGGACGACGGACAAGGGCAAGCCGTCACTTCCATGTCCATCTACAGTTGCCTGGCGCTCGCCTTCGACTATTCTGTAGTCAGGGCCACGCCTATCCAGCCAGGGTAAAGGCCCGACAGGGGAAACCACGTGGGAGAATGTTATTTCGACAGTAATCTAGGAATACGGAAGGTAATACAGGCTCCACGGTAAAGAAAACTGCTTCAAGAAGGAGGTCACCTTCAAGCCTTCGATCAAGCCAGTCTGTCCGGTTGCCGTTCTATATTGTCCGGGAAAATTCTACTGCTTACAAGCACCTTCAAATTTTTTCAAGTTATCTCTATGAGAATCTTTCAGCCTTCCAAGAAGGCCCAACATCGAGGCCGGCAGATCGACTGGCGAATTGTTTGTCATCGGTGGCCTTCCCTGCTGTACAGGCTGCTCTCAGTACCATCCTATGCGTGTGCAGTTTGATGTTCGTGAACCTGTACATGGCTGGAGTGAGTGTTATCAATGTTGAACGTTGCAAAAAAAAACAGACATCTTTTTTGATTTGAAAATCTTCCAGCTGAGGAGTTACTTTCACCCTGGGGGGGAAACGCTCCAACGCGCTTGCATCCGGTGGGAAAGGCTCAAAATTTCTCGTTCTCAATGGGAACGGCAAACACTTATGAAAACAAATATGCGAAAAAGTTTCAGAGCTTGGACGACTCTGCGCACCGGATAACATCCTTCTTCTGTTCCTTTCCTTTATGTCCCACTACGGTTGCGTTGCTCCACGTTGTTCCGATTTCCGCGTTGAACCTCTCCTTCCTCTCCTTCTCTATGAAGGGTTCAATGTGCCGACTCATATTGTATTTGGATGATCTCCTACCCCACTAGAATCCTGATGATTTCCTACGCCCCTAGAATTCATGCCCCCTGTTGCATTATGCGTAAATTCTAAACCATGGGGCAACGCTACAATGAGCCAGATAATCATTGATGGTGTCTTTCAAAATGACCCTTCAAAAGCGACTTTTGAAGGGTCCCTTGGTTCAGCTCTCCAAGGCTAGATCATTCTTAACAGCATCTCGTTTAGGTTTTCGTCAAGACGATGATCATATGTGTGGTGCTGTGTAACCTTCACGGTCTCGTCTTCCTTCCGGCAATTCTAATCATGATCGACTCGATTCGATGGGCTCTACGACCAAAAGGTGCAACTTCTTGCCTTTTTCACATCCTCTTGGAAAAAAAGATCAATAAATGAGAGCACACGAAGAAGCAGGGAGCTCTCACAATCTCACTGCAGAAAGCTCAAGGATATTTCTGGTCTATCGTCAGTGAGAGTTGCATTGTTTCAGGTGCAGCCGCTCAGCCTAAGAACCAACCGCCAAAAGTTTCACGAACGAAGCTGAAGCAGAATTCTAGGGTACGTTTCGTTCAATGGACATTTCCTCTTTCCATCTAGAACATTGCACTGACCTAAGGAGGGCTGAAGCTACCCAGACGACATCCCTGTGATCGGCTGGTCTGATTAGACTAGCAGTCCACGCTGATTGTGTGGGCGGCTGTACACGGCTGATTGTGATGGCGGGTCGGATGTGCCAGCGTGCCTTTCTCACTGGTATCGCTCCTCCATTCGACCGTAAAGGACAAGAGGTGTGCTGCGGAGGAGCGTGCAATAGTTCGCTTACCATTACACAACGAGTAGACTCGCGAATAATGCGGAGTCTGTGAATGCGCCTGAACGACGCTACTTACTCGCCCTTATGTGTTCTCAGTTTCGTTCAGCTTGGCCAATGGATAGGGCGCTGTTCGTTTTTTTTGGGGGAGGGGGCACTTTGCGCTTTCGCTAGCCCCTTCATGCTAATTAATGTTAACTAACAGGTGCAACTTTACTGAGACCTGCAAACACTTGTGAAGCTGCGAAATGGAATAACTGACTAGGGAAGGTCGTCAGGTCGAAGTGGCCCGTTTGTAATGAGATGTAGTTCACTAGACGTGGTTTTGGACGCTGATCTCGAATCTGCCTTTGAAATTTGCAAAGCGATTCTCTGAAAGGAATTATGATGGCTTGTTAGAATTAAAATGAAGGAAAACGGAGTCGAGCGCGGTTGCCAGCCAGTTCGCACGAGTTTCTGCTGAAGGGCGTCGTATGGTGTAGTGGTAATGCGTGTTTACTTCGCGAGGCATGCCATAAAGGTTCGGATTCTGGAGGCCGAACTTCTTTTGCATTTTTGTCGGGCCAATGTTCGTCCTTTCAAGTCTAGAAAACACTTAAACGCCAAATGATTGCCATATTCGTGTTCACGGAGCAAAACTACCCTTGGAGACAAGTTTCTAGCCAGAAGTGAGGTTTTGACCTAACTAGAAAGTTGCGGTAGCATGTTGCATCGAACATCGGTCACCAATAGTTCCAGGGCCAGTCTCTTGTCTTTGGACGGAATTTGCTTTTAGATACCAGGAAAACTGGAGCAGTAACAACATGAATGCGTAAGAAGTGGCAAGACGAGGCTTTGCGCAGGAGAATGTATCTGCAGCCGAATAGGTGTGAACATCAACTGAACTAACCCATGGATGCTTCACTTTTCGAAGTCAGGTCAAAATGGCAGATTTGGCTAGAAACCTCTACCTAGGCGTAGTTCGCCCCATAAATACGAATATGGCACTCGCTCAGCGCGAAAACGTCTGCACTGCGCGCCAAGGGCACCTGTACATCCTAAAATTCTCCTAGATCGATGATGGTACTAAGCGCCTGCCAGTAAGCAGAAACGCAACTGTATTTACAGGCAAGTCAAGGACGAGCGCTTAGAAGCGACGCCACAACCACTCTTTGCACGTTTGCGGGTGGCGAAGCCAAAAAAGTTGAAGCTTACAGGGGTCCGATCCCATGACCTGTTGCGCTGGAAATGCGGACGGGCGAAAAGCTCTATTAGCTCCGTTCTAGCAGAATACCTTTGCAACTTTTAAAGGCCCAACATTTGAGATCAGGGTCCAAAGCCAGGGGCGTCTTGAGCTACATCTCATTACAAATGGCCACTTCAACCCTAACGACCTCCCTTTAGTGAGTGCCCTAGGGTAAGGGTCGTCAGGTCGAAGTGGCTCTAGTGAGTCACTATTGTTACAAGAATTTGCAGGTCTTCATAAGGTGGCCTGTACATCCTCAGCAAGGCATTGCCCCACCACACTGAATAGAGCAGTGATAACCTGCAATAGTTCATATAAGGTAGTTTGTCGGTGATCAGTTGTAAATATTGTTTCGTTCAGATCGCACCAGAGAAGAGCTTTGTAACCGATCGTCCAGAGGTTTGATACTCTTCCATCACAGCTGCCAACGTGAGTGGACAGATCTTTGAAACGGGATAATTCTTCCTCTTTTTCATCATAATCATCATCTACTTCTTTTCTGTGTCCTCTCCATCACTTCCTCCGTGTTTTCCCAATCATGCTCAGTCGATAATTCTTCATCGACATGTTGTCGATTTGCATGTAAATAATTTAGGTAATATAGCTTCTCATATCATGTACAAATTTGTGCGATAATGTTCTTAAGCTGTTGAATGAATATTTTGGAGTAAAGATTGTTTCGAGATCTTCCTGGAACTCTTAGAGAGCTCTCAGAATCAATTTGATTTTATGTGAGGGTTTTTACGTTGTTTCAATGGACACTGAAAGAATGGGTCCGCTATAGAACGAATAGCGCCCGAAATTCTATTTCAGGGCTCGTGAAGTTGTGGAAGTGTCGTGAAAGTTATTCACAGTGTCACTCAAACCTTGAAGAAAACCGTGGATCTTACTAAGCGAATCAACGCTGAGGTGACCTGTGGGATACCAAGGGTTAAAGACAATTCCCGCGATCAAGTATAAGATCAGTCGGCGTT